CAGTGGTAGTCTCGTGGATATCGACCTGGCATGGTACATTACTAATGGGGTAATATTACCTGACGATCCGGTTCTCACTCAATCGGAGGCACAGTTCTCTGTCAAACGTGGATGCGAAGGTATGTAAGTAAAGAGAACAACATTGCCATTAATGTACTATTTTAAGTCGTACTCCATGCGGTCTACCTTGGAAACCAGCTGTTATGAAACGAATTTATTATATATCTGTTCAGAGTTATAGGTGTCCACACAACAATAGATAATTGGCATAGAAAATAAATTCAACGATGTCGGGTTGAATATGTGTGTGATACGTTAGTTTGAAGAGTAATATTTACTAATGACCCATAACATATTAGACTACAGGTATACTATGTATCACGGGATTTTCTTTAATTTCCATGATGTTTTTAATATGTATAGACAATGGTTACCTCTTCTTACCAAAAAAGCCATCAGGTAGGTCATCTTTAAAATTGTACGCAGGGGCAGCCCTCTAGCTACAATCTATTGCTATATATGCTCAACGGACTATACGTTTAATATTTTCACTCTTATGAATTCGTGCTATTTGTTACTTTGTATTTTACACTTTATACTTTAAATTATAAAGTTGATATTTGCTCAATCTTCTTAGCCGCAACTGTATTGCTAATGAATTGATAGATTAAAATAACGTGCCTATTCAAAGTACTTAAATTTAAATTCATTTAAATACCTGTTATTACTATATCTACTATTTATAAAATAATCTATTCCATAAGACCATTGGTAAGTAAAGGTTTCGATCATTGAAATAAAAAGAAGCAAGCAAGACTTATAGAGCGACAAATGGCCATTGTAATATCATGGTGACATGAAATCGGTATTGAAAATATCAAGTTAAGTCAATAAATCCCGAATAGTGCAGTAGGGGCACCCTACACCTGAAGTGTAGAACTGGAAATTGGAAACCGTAACTCAACAAGTATTAGGGGAAGGAAAACTCCGTCGCGCCATCTGTAGGCCTTATCTAATGCTATAAATATCATACTGAACCCGGAACGTAGTAGGAATTATTGCTCCAAAGGTACCTTCCTTCGTCGCTGTATAATGGATAATTCATGCACCCCGCTTCACTGTTTCATAATTTTACGGGCATTTTTTGTAATTATTGTCAAGAGTTCGTGACTGCTTTCAATGGAATATATGATCGTTATACTGTTATACCAAATATTATAAGCTATTTACAGGTAAAAGTATCGTAGTTGAAAAAGAATGGAATCGTCACCAATTATATATATATTTATTACGTAAACTCGATAAACTCTACTCTACACGAAACGAAAACAAGCTCCATTATTAATATCAACAGTTACTTACATTTCATTTATCGTCTATCTGTCTTAAGTTTACGAAATGTAATAATAAAATATTAAGTTCCCATCATACATACTAATAGTAGCCATTTTGCAAGAATATTTACTTATTTTCATTATTATCATAGCTATTATTTATTACTTAATTAGATAAGTCCTAATAATATGGCAATACTTAATACTAGTTTACTTTTAGTAGAGTAATTGTAATTCAATCGTCGTGAAAAATTTGCATCAATTTGAATAATATAGTCATTAAGTGCTTATTGCATAGAATACTTAAATAATTACAATTGCTTAGAAAATTATACAATATAAGACATTTGAAATATACGTAATTGGCTGTCTGTACAACTTGAAGCTATACAACATTCATCTTTGCGCTGTCACTCGAAACAAGCTCTCACAATGACGCGTACATCTAACAATTTTTCTCTGTCACCCCGGCACTTGACTTCAGAGCACGAGCGAGGGCTCTTTTGAAAATTGCATCACGGGAGAGTGTTGATTAATAAAGAAAACAAAATTCATGAAACTTGGAATATTATGATTGAATGGAGTCACGTTTTTCTTGAATGTATTAGATTGATTCTATTTTCATATTTTTTGAGAGTATATTCTATTATTGACTACATCATTTTCAGAGCTTCATATTTCGTTATCGTGGCATTTTCAAGATTTATTTTATCGGTGCTTACTTTCCAAAATATCTTATTACTAAACTTAGGTACAACAACTGTAAGGTCATTAGTTGTTTGTGTATGTATTATATTATTAAAAAACTTCCGAGATTTCGACGTATGTAAACAACTATGATAAAAATTGTAATTGTATTATTGTATTATTATATTATTGGAATGGATGCTTTTATGTTTGTTAATGAAATCCTTACTAATCATTTTTAGTAGTTATATGAAGTACTTTATTAAATGCTCACCTACTATTTATAGTTAAAGTCATCTTTACTAATGTTTTCTATCAATTTAAACAGAGGAAATGATGTTTCAACAAACTAAAAGTATCAGATCTAAATAGGGCAGTAGCCAGGAGAATATATATAAGATAAACCAGATTTATTACCATTTTTATCGTAATTTATGTAAACAAAATAGCTAGATTATTATATGCATAAATTTCAAACACAAACTAATTGAAACAAATTAAAGTCATTAATCCTTTCACGGCGATATTTATCTAAGTTCGTGTACTTAATTAAGTTTGAGAAATCACCTCAATTTCCCTTGATTAAAACTATGAGCAGAAAACAGTTTCGGTGTTTGACAAGAGGCGTCATCCAACACCTGGTGAGAAATGCAATCAAGTTTAATTATTACGGGTATTAATAACAAGGGTGCACTTGGGGCGAGGACCTGACCCGTTGCTATGGTAACACCCCAAGGTTTGGACGCAGCCTGCGCTCCTACACGCATAGTACGTGTTTAGTTATTTACGAGTTGAGCTGATTACAGTTGTAATTGTGCGGCATTTTCAGCACAGCTTGTCATTTTGTGAAACACAGATAAATCCCGTTAAGGCGTCTAGAGATTACGCTTGTAATATGAAAATGTTGGTTTATAGGATGTTCAAAACTGTAGCGTACTTACATATGTAACAAAAATAAGTAAGTATTAATATTTACTAAATACGTACTATATTCTTCTTTAAAAATTGATAATATTTGTATAGTTTTTAGTCGAAGATTGTTTATGAGTATTGTAATGTATGCATTAGGTACTTAGATAATGTATTGTACTTATTACAAATATTACTTTTATTTAAAATTCTCATTATGGAACTACTTTTATTATATAGGTAACATAACACTGTCTTACTTTCGATATCAACAGCTAAATATTCTCGAGCATGCTACACAACTAAAATGGGAGCCAAACATTTCTTTCGATACACGGAAGCACTCGTTACCATCACGGATCAAAAGGATAAACGCACCCAAAGTTTATTCATGAACTGACGAGGGCATCAAACTGTGCGCATTCAAAAACTTATACGAGCATTTCAAGTCTTATCTACTAGTAGAATTTGACCCATGAAACTTCTACAAGTATATGTTGAAGTAAATCGCATCTTCGCAAAGATGGCGCTTGAGGGAGAATTTATGTTGTATGTGTCATAAAGTCGTATTGTGTTTTTGTGTCCAGAACGATGATAGCTATATCATAGTACAATAGCATTAGGTATATCAAGTACAAACAGCTTAGTTCGGGCTAGAAATATCGTACTTACACTAAATAGGCTATATAGAGTAACTTATCATGTTTCATTATCTTATCGTTCTATTATATTAATGACCCCCTCTCTCTTTGCATCTAAACCTTTGTCAGGAAATATTGTGTTGATAAATGAAAAGAGCATACAAAAAGCGTTCAGTAGTTTTTGAGATTATCGGGAACGTATAGGCAGACGCGGCGCCGCCGGAATTACTGACTCTAGCAATAGGCGCTTCCTCGGCATACATTGGAGTAATTAATGATTAGGAGTCTCACAGTACCCGCTCGCCTTCCCTGGGGCAGGCGGGTCTCCATGAGAGATTTTCTCCCAGTAAAAAAAAAAGAAAGAAGCGGTGCGGTACTTTGTTATGGCATATACAGATACGTTCGTGTTAGAATCGTGTTTTTATCTTGACATTATAAAGTAATATTTGCATTGGTAGAATATTAGAATCTATATTTTATATTTCATATGCTTTACTCAATTCTATTCTCATTAAAAAAAACTACAACTTTATACATAATACTTAATCTTTACCTTGAATCAAATTAAAAAAATAATTCATAAGAAAGTACCATGTGTGTTGCTAAACTCAACTTGTACATTTAGTTATAAGTCAATTTAATATTTTTATGAATAAAGGAATTAAAAAATAAGTGTGTAACGCTGAAATTGTGTAATACCATGAGTGGATTTTTTTGTATTAGGCAATTTATTTCACCCAATTTACGAAAAACTAATAGTCCACATACGAGTATGTACATAGATAATACTATACTTATACAGAAGTATTGCCTGATATTAGTCAATATATCAATCTATTAATAGGTAATTCGTATCCATAACATGAATTCATTGCCAATAAATCTGAATACATTGTAAATGTTACTTTGAAATATGCGTCAATTTCTATTGAACTTGTTCTAACTTTTCTTAGAAAGTGTAAAGAAGGGTTCATCTGAAGCGATTTACAAGCGATTCGCTACTTTATAGCTCAGTAAAGTGTTTTTAATTGCTAGGAAACGAGCAAGGTGTATTAGGCTATCAATCCTTTGTACGTTTATTTAACTGATGTTAATGTCTCATAAAGATCCACAGGAAAATATAACAATTGTTTTTTTTTTAATAAGAATCAATCGTATGCAGAAAGTTAAAATGTAAAAATAATTTAATTAAAACATATTTATGACCAAATAAGCATCTGAAATCACAAAGCTACCTCCTACACATTAAATATCTGCAATCGTCGTGTAAAACTATTTATCAAATCTATGCAGTCAGAGTATATTCTATTTCAGAGACTTTGATTGTATAAATATAGTAAACTTATTCTTTTGTTAATAAAAAAATAAGTGAGTCAGTACTATCTTATGAGTTACTTACTCTTCTTAATTAAGTTATTATAGGACCATTAAAACAAACACATACAAATGTACGTTATTTAATAATGCTGATCAGTTTGAAACATTTCTACAAATGTTAGAACTGTTAAAAGATCTTTTTAATACAAAATTCTTTATAACTGTGATTAAAAAATGGCCTTCAATTTTCTTGTTCTTTTTCTTTGCATTTGTTAATTTACTACATAATAAATAGATAAAATACGTACGGTGTAAATGAACGATAAAATTGTATAAGGATATCAAACATTAAAACATATTTACAAAACTAAAAAATTGAATAAGAAATTATACTATATCACAGTCACTAGAGAAAGATGAAACCTATTTCTAAAGCCTACAATACGATAAACAGCAGTCTATTTAAAAACACACCCACAGTAGCTAAACTTGAAAAAACGTACGGCTACACCTCCACATACAAATTACTACTAATTGTTAACGAAAATATTACGCATATAGTAGTAGTTTAATCAAAATAGAAATTACACTTATCAGCTAGCGTATTTAATTATTTTTGATCAAATTTGAGTCAGTAGTAAACGTATCGATTTATTTAAAATATTAGTAGTCATTGTTATGTGGTAGTGTAACAGACATTCTATTTCTCCGTCAATATATGCAGAAACATTTCATACATATTTACAAATTTACTAATTAGTATTGCTTGGTTTACGTACTAATGATATTCAATAACAATGTTATGACAAAATAAAAAAATTAAAATTAACTTCGATACGTATGTCCTGAACAACCAGATGCACCCGAGTTATTGGCAAATGCACGTATATCCCGGTAATGGGTTTCTCTGTGAACAAAAATTGATTGAATTGATTTATTTGTACTTTTATGACATGATATATACTATGGCGTGATAAAAAATATGTGAAACCTTAAAAAGAGAAACATATAACGACAAATAGTCATAACATTTGCTTAAAATATTAGTATCAGTATTATTTATTATCCTGTTTTTAATCCTAAAGAAAATACAAATAAACAAAGTTTCTTTCTAGATATATTAATAAATATAAGAAACTCATTTTATATAATAATATTTTATGTATAGTATAATTATACTTTTTAATAATAGTTTTATTTTGAATATACATATGAAAAAATACATTACCTCTCATAAGGTGGAGGCGGAAGAATATCACACAAATTCATTCTGCAGTTTTGATCGCTCCTTTCACCACTTGAATGTGTTCGAGTATTTGTATCTTCAGTTCGATGTCTAAAACTATTTTCTTTTCCTAACCAATGCCATTGCGGATAATCATACTCTACTTCAGCTATAGCCCATTCTTTGTTAGCATCATGATGGCTTGATGATCTCGAATGATTAGTTTTACAAGAGGGGCAGTCATCTATTGACATTTCCTGTAAATCCTCTCCGTCATTGCCACATTTAGTCATTTCGCTGTAGTCTTTCGTTAAAGTTGAACTGCTACTGCGACAGCACGTGGAACATTCTTCATTGGAGTACTGGTTGCTTTCTCCATAGGATCTTATCATACTGTTGTCACATGAACCTGGGCTATTGGCACATTTCATGCAGGAATCTTCTAAGTCAGTCTAGAATTATTCATTTTAATGCATTAACTAGCAAACGTAACCTACATTGGAAATTTTATAATACACAATTAAATAAGTATTTATTATGCATTGTCCCTACTGATTTGTAAAATAAATTTTGCTTGGTAGAGGGAAAATACAATGTAACTAGTAATACAATTTCAATCTGCGAGCGATGCTCTATCATGTGACTAGCTTTATTTTTCTCCTATAAAATATTACGATTATAATAAAACATTAATAAATTGTATTCTCAAACCTAGTCATAAGTTCAGAATATTATATATGTAAAACATTAATAAATTGTATGTTGACGTATTACTGTAAAGTTTTATCAAAATCCGTTCAGTAGTTTTTGCGTGAAAGAGTAACAAACATTTATCCATCCGAACTTATAATAATATACATCTGAATATTATATATTATAATAAGTAGATCAAAAGTTTTTAAAACTAAATATTTAATATATATATATAACTAGAATACAATTTCAATCTGCGAGCTGCTATCATGGTTTTATTTTTCTCCTATAAAATATTACGATTATAATAAAACATTAATAAATTGTATTCTCAAACCTAGTCTGAACTTATTTCAGAATATTATATATGTACAAATATGGATACCTAGCTGCTAGTGGTTTTACCATAGTCTATGTGTTATTCTGATGTTGACGTATTACTGTAAAGTTTTATCAAAATCCGTTCAGTAGTTTTTGCGTGAAAGAGTAACAAACATCTATCCATCCGTACTCACTTATGCGTTTGTAATATTCATAAGATTAATAATATACTGTATCTGTAAGCACATAAGTAAATATAAATTATAATAAGTAGATCAAAAGTTGAAAGGAAGTGACTTACCTGATAATTTAGTTCCGTATAAATGGCACTAGAGGCGTATGGTTCCGGTTGCATTCTTTTATATTCTTCTTGAGGCATTGGGTTCATAGTATGTGAATGTTGTGGAAGAGTATATTCTGCTTCCATAGCCATTGTTCCTACAGAGTGTCCACCTTTAGTTAAAAAATATGTATTTTATACAATATCTATATTGCTTTAAGAAAACAATTAAAAGAAGCCGTAATTCATATAGATTGTCAAGTATCGTGGTTTTAAAAAAAATATCCAATCAACTAATTTGTATTAAACGTATATCGCCTCAATACATATTGGTAAACTTAGATAATCGTATATTTATTTATAATTTCCTAGAATCAATCATAATTGTAGTATCGCGTATAAAACTGTTATTCTTGGTTATAGTTAAAAGGTAATAGTTTATGTTTTCAGTTATTATTTATAAGAAGAGTATAAAATTCTTGGTGATGTCTAATTTATTTTTTACTTACTGTGTAAAAGACTCTGATGACAATTCAATATTTCAATTCTAGGTTCGTTTGAACCTTCGAATACTGGCCTTTCTCGAAGCCAAACTGCTTCTTTACCCAATAAACATTGCTGAGCATTAATAATTGCTGTATCTAGAAGAAATTATCAGTAATTTATTAACTCTAAATAAACTAAACTAAATATTTAATATTCTGATGATATAGCGTAGAATTTTACGTACTTGTTGAATTTTGACTTTTCCTTTGTTTCGAATTTCGATGTCTAATATAAAATCCAATAGCTGCACTAACTATAACTAAGACAAGTATAAATGCACACAATACAAGCAGCCAAGTTTCTTGAAACATAGACAGAATGGCTTTGTCTGTTGCTGGTTCAGTCCTAAAACAATTGGTAAGATTTCAATTTCAACAGCTATCTCTATAGATTTATCCAAATTAAGTTACACATTATTCTCATTAGTGAATTATACGTCAAAAAGAATTATATTCTTAAACCAAATGTATCAATATATCCAAGTTATCCGGTACTAATAGCATAAGTCCAGGTGAATTTGGAAATTAATTGTAGTAGTAATGCAAATTTAACAATTTTACAAAAATTTTAAGTCGTTTGATGGAATTGTTATTGCTTGGACATTCTTGTTACATGTACACTATTAGATTTTTTAAGGAACTTACTGTACGTAATGTCGTTGTATCTGCGTTGGTACCATGTGTATAAGCGCAGGCGCACTGAACGGCCCATGTCCTCTGTGTGTAACTGCTGCAGCGCGAGCACTATAGCGACCACCTGTACGAAGAGAACTAGCAGCAGCAGCACGAGTACGTGCTCCTAATGACATCTGGCCTACTACTCGTCCACCATTGCCTCCACCCACTCTCACTTCAATCTAAAAATTAAACTGTATTGTAATTTCTTTTATTCGAGTTGATCGTTGTAACCTATTATTAAAGAGATAACTAAAGTAATGTAATAAATATTTAACTATGCGATATAATCTTAACGTATTTACTACCTATACTGTGAAAATGCGTTTCGCCATAAAATGATTAGGCAGATAGGTATTTAAAGCTTTAGATAACGCTAACCATTATGACATCACCGAAATTGATCGACTTCATGAAAATTAATTTTAATTGTATCCCAGATATAATCGTATCGTATCGTATTTTAGTTAAGCTTGTACTGGAATATTTAGGTAATCGCTTCAGTTCATATTTCTTAAACTGAAACTGTAAAATAGTTTTAATTCAAGGAGTCAAATAAATGGATGTTGTTAGTTTAAGGAAGTATACTAACTAAGTATCCAGAAAGTTCTCCATTCCAAGTATGTACGGGAGGCGGATCCCACCGTATCCATGCTGACGTCGCATTTATCACGCCGGCTGAAAGGCTCTGCGGCGGTGCCGATGGAACTAAAATTTACTTGCAATGTTAGACTTACAGGAAATTAAACTACTTAGATAAAAATGTCACTTTGCAAAATTAAATATAAACTCAATAATAAATAGAATAAAAGCCGTAAATACAAATGATGTAATCTTATTGCAAATTAATAAATATACTTACTATCTTCTTCTGTAAAACCAGACTTCATGTTAGATGGTTTACCTAACAATAACTTATAAAAAGGCATTACAAATACATCATATTGAGCATATGGCATTAACCCTGTTAATACATGACTAGATGAACCACTGTTATGAACTGTGGTCATTGAAAAATTTTCATATTTACTAAATTCAGCTATACTATCTAAAGATGCATTCGAGTTCATAGAATTTTCTGTCGCATATTGTCGATTAATAGACGTTCCATTGAACCATATTTTTACACCCTCTAGATATTCGTTGTAATCTGTCATAACCTGTTAAATAAAAATAAATATGGTATAATAATTCAATATCACACACACTCAACTGTCAGTAAAAATAATAGTAATTATAAAAAAAACGCACATCCCAAACAATTTTAATGGTAGTAGCAGATATCCCTTCTACACGTCTTAGAGCTAAAACATCTTGTTGTAAATAACGTCGAGCTTGTACTAATTCGTATTGTGTCATCGGTGGATAGTTCAATGGTTTGTTTATATCTGGATAAGGTGATGATGACTCAAAATCTCCTTTGAAAGAATTGGCTTCTCTTCTTAAAACCTAAAGAATATGTCAATAATGTTAATTTACTTTATGATACATTTATTAAAATATACATTGTTATTGTACATTAATTACCTGAAGAGTAGCCGTATGTAAAGCACTACCAGCTGCACTGACAGCTACGCATGTAAGTCTACCTGCATGTTGAGCCAGTACTCGATCTAAATAAAGCGAACTGGTACCGTGACTTGATTTTGTGAATATTAATTCCTGGAAGAAATATTAGTCCTTAGTACTTTTTATAACATTGCAAAATGAGCATGTAATATAATAAATGAAAGTATCTTGAGGAAAAATAAGCTCTTTTCTTGAAGGTTTAAAATGGCATCAATTCGGTAATATAATTTCTGGGAGGTGATGTGATTGGTGTATGTCATGTGTTGGGCGAGGCAAGGTAGGTATCGGAAAAATGCTTGATTGAGGGCCGCCATTCAACCACATGATGAGGATGATATTTTAATTTATCCTGAGTTGCGCGATGATAAATTAACAGCTGGTATCAATCTGAACAATTCCTTAGAACACCATCCGTGATATATACCTACAGAATAAAATGGACAGAGGTTTAGTGTTCTCTGCAATTATTTCTATGGTATATACAACTGATTTTGAAGCACAGTTATATATTTAACTCCCAATCGCCAGTAATCTTACCTGCGATCCTTCCATAGTCCAGAACAAAATGGGTTTAGGTGATCCATCCGCCTCGCATGGAAATGATACAGCTTCTCCTTCCCATGCTGTTTGATCCGAAGGCACTCGTGTAAAGTGAGGTAAGGCTGCAAAATGTAAAATAATAAGAATATGTATTAACATTAACAGTAAGCGATAATTTAATTTCCACTTATATTTCTTACAATATACTGTTAGTGTGGCACTGGCTGCACTTGACCCAGCTTGACTTTCAGCTCTGCAAGTGTATGTCCCGGCGTCTGTAGATACTAATCGATCTATCCTTAAAGATCCGCGTCGTATTATGGCATAAGGTGATAAAGTACCACTATCACGCGACCATGTTACAGCCACATCTGAATCTGGTGAAGTCTGAAATACGACTAATTATATTAACTTACTATATTATAAAAATAACTGTGTAAAAAAATTTTGACAATCGAAGTAGGTTTTATACTTAATGAAGACGTGATCTTATGAGAATTTTGTGTTTAAATCCTAATTGAAACTACTTTACAATTACATCTTATTATATACCTCAAACAAATTTCCTTTCAAATAAATAAACAGTACAGTCTGTATAATAAGCTGTCTATTCTACATTGATGTATATCCATTTAGATCAAAATTAAATCGGTCGAATATTCATATCGATGTGTGGAATGTAGAATTTAAGATTAGCATTACAAACAAAAGTAACAATAAACCACAATGCTACATATCTCAACTTACTTGACAATGAAACTCGATGTTCTGGCCTATTAGCGCCGTTATATTATTGGGTTTCACTAGAAAATGTGGTCTGCGTAATACGAGTAAGGTAGCCGGGCGCGATTGCCTTTCTCCCGCCACATTAGATGCCACGCATTGGTACACACCACTATCTGACGGCAGACTCTCGAGAATTTTTAGATTACCGCCATCTACTACAGATATTCTGTAAGATAAGTGTAGCAAAATAATGAACACAGAAATACAGCAATAGCGTAATTTAGTAATAAATATATATCTTGAGTCTTTACATTAAATAATTGTATATTTACTCAGTAAAGCTCGTACACAATATATTACAACATTTAATAATGATCTACATATATAAGCACATATAGGTAGTTTCATGCTATATGTGCTTATATGTGTAGATCATTATTAAATATTGTTGTCATGTTAATGTTAATTGTGAACTCTATTTCTATGTTTAACAATTAGTTTCAATATTATTAACAGTACCTTCCATTGACTTCTACATCTAAAGTTTGTCCATCTTTAATCCAATGTACTGAAGGATCAGGCACACCTTTAGGAGAGGAACATTCTAATAAGGCGGGTTCTCCGCTTGCCACTTTTACATCACGGGGTTCTGTTCTAAATTCGTCCCTGAGGACTGAAAATGAAGAAAACTTATTTGAAATACAAGTATAAAAATACAAATTACATCTGCAATTAAATTTTTCAACTATTACAATTTTGTTTTTTTATATACAGTTAAAACTTCAACATACACCTAACTAAATATATTATATTATATCCCTACAATATAATGCATTAATGTTTGAAATCAGGAATTACTCCTATTGAATAAATATTAAAGAGGGAGGGTATCCAACTCACATGTTTTAATAGTAATTGGTTTCCTTCATTCTAAATGGTAGCAATGTCTATCTCGATTAATTAAATATTAACGATACAAATAGGTATTAATGGAGTGTCAAATGTTAGGTACCAGGTTGTTTATCATACAATACTATAAATGTAACAGAATATATAGATTTGTTTGTACAAAATAATTATTAGTACTTCATTACTGGTGAGGATAATGTTATACCTCTTGTATTAGTACGAGTACAACAATGTAACACAGTTGTTTCGCAACATAATAATATACTAGTAGTATAACTAATGTACTGATAAACATCGTACTTTCTAATATATCCCTGTAATTTTCATGCTTATCACAAAAATTCAAAACAAACTTAGTATATTACCAGCAATGGTCAATGTAGCGTTTTTACTAATTGCTTCGCCGACGGAGTTCCTCGCGACACACCAATATACTCCCTCGTCGCTTTCCTTTTTACCACGCATAACCCTATAAGGTAACAACATAATTAGCCCTTAAGCAGTAAAGTAGACCGTAAAACACTCGTAAAACAACTTTCAGACTTGAAACATTATCGTCGACATCACGAAAACAAAGATTCTATTCTAAAAATAAAATTATGGAAACAATATATTATATAACATTTTTATTATAATTTTTTTAAACAATTTTATTGTTATATTCACTAATAAATCCTACTTGTTGAGATAATAATTCCCAGATACTGAGCACAGAAATTTTTAAAAAAGATTGAGCATGGAAGGTTTTGACAAAATAATTATATCTTCACGTTTGCAGTAGGTATTAAAGGGATATAATTTTGGCGTCAGTTAACAAAATTTACGATCTTGATCTAAATACTTTTTAAATGCATGAATGACATGCTTGCATTTATGTACATATATTAAATAATATAGATAGCTATTCAAAGGAGTTGGGTTCTGCTATTAATTTGTAATTGTTTTATTACTATTGTTATCCTTTGTTATTAAAAAAATATATATAATATATGTAGGTTCAGTTTATAAGATGCAAAAATAATCAATTCTTGAATTCCACATCTGTGTTAATTTCATCAACAAAGATGTGGAGTCGATTCTAATATCCTAATAAATAATATGATTTATAGAACTTTTAGCTTTTTATTGTATTATTAAAGATATTAAAGTATTTCTTAGATATCTTATTTGCATGTAGGTATATATTATTTATATAACTATATTTATGTAGCATCTGAGTTTCTAATATCTATACAATCGCGATCAAATTTCTTAATATGTAATAATATAGAAACGAAATAAGTGTGCTCTTTGCCTATTTCGTTGTCATATCGTTACAAAGGGGCTTGTCCTGACTGACTCACACAACTAACATAACACAAATTACTAAGGCTCTAACTTTTTAACATATGCATTCAGTTATAATAACATTCAGAAAATAGGTCAGACGCGAGAGAACATGAACAGCACTGCAGACAATGTCGTACTCATGCGTTGCCATTCTAGAAGACTAGAATGTCATGCCTCTTATCCTGTAATTTCACTGCCTAATCATACCCTATAATCAAAACACATCTCAAAAAGCAAGCTTGGCGGGCAAAATAGATGAGACGGCGGATCTTATGCAGAATACTTATCACAGTCTACATCTGGTAACAAAAATACCTAGTAACATCTAAACTAGATGTAGGTATAAGAATAATAAGAACCTACCTAAGAAATAACAGTCCATCTTCAAGCAACACTCTATGTGGATGGTCTGTAGGCGCGAGCGGTATTCCATCTTTATACCATTGGATCGTCGGTTTCGGCTTCCCTTCAGACACGCACCGCAGGGTAGCAGGTTCACTTCTCCCTACAATCGTGTCCGCTGGGTGTTCTTTGATACGCGGCGCACGACTTTGAGCTTTATAAAAAAGAATTGTTTGAAAGGGATGGAATTTGAATAAAGCGTGCAACAATAGCATTTGTTTAGTGTGGTTCTAAAATATTGGAACAGGTACCAACTGCCACTATTGTTACAATATTAATATTAACACCACCTGTATCACGAATGTTTACCACAATAGGACGTTTAATTTGTTTATAACGTGTATAGTGTTCATAATAATATTCTAAATGTTCTAAATCGTTTTCTGATATACAATAATGTATTGTATATTTATTTACTGATTTTGCATAATATAAAATGTATTGATTCAAACGAACTAAGCCAAATTTACTAAAATTTTATGCCGTCGGGTAGTAATAGTTACATTAAATAATAGACAAATACACAGCTTTCTCATGAATAACCTGTAATCATTGTTACCAATATTTATTTTTTTTGCAATTTTTAAACTATATTTCATATATTTTTATATCTAATTAAGGACAGAAATATACAATGAGTATTATTGTTGTAAAAATATTATATGTACTTCTTTCTTCTTCAGTGTAATTTCTCTCTATGTCCTCATAGTACATCTCTATGTACAAAAATAATTTTAACAACAAACGAAAATATGTATTATGCACGTATTACGAACTATTTTTTTTTAATTAAACCGTTTATTAATCATGCAAATACTTACACATTGCAAAAAAATCAATACACATTTTATAATGCTAAATAATAAATTATTCGTGTTTAAATAAATATACAGCTCGTTTGGGACACATATAAAATTTTGGTATACAATAATATTATGTTCCTACTTATTAAAATGTTTATGTATTTATTCAAACATTGAATGTAATATATGATAAACATATTATAGAAATAAATTTATTTAACGCTTGTAACATATAAACATTGTTAGTTTAATCATTTTTACCGACGTATTGTAGTTATAAAATTAATTACAGTATCAATTCATAAAAAAATCACTTACCTTTCGTCGGACAAGGAAAACTGGACAAAACATATAAAAGGATAATGCACTTGAACTGGTTCCATGCACGTTTATCTGTTTTAATTGGTCCCACGACCATGCTTGACACTACAAACTGCCAATTCCCACTTTACGTTTACACACATTTCAAGTCATAGAAAAAAAATATATTTCACCTTAAACTAAAGTATGATACTTAATTTGAAAAATACTAATAGTTTTCAAACGACATCGCGATGTGTATAGAGCACGAGGCGACACAGCCTCTACGTCGTATATCTTTAGGGTGACTGCCCCCCACTCTTACTTAGACATTTCGCGCCGACTCAGTCGAGCTTTTGCGTATCGAAAAGGCCCTCGATGACGATGACATCCGTTCTGCAATCAGTGTGTCTGCATATTTTTTCAAATACCCGAAACATACTATAGGCATTCTTATTAGACAGTTCAAACTAAAAGCTTAGTTTGGAGGAAATGATTTCTTTTCTTATCACCCTGTATTTTTAATTCGGTATTATTAGAACTTGCTGTTCTGATCTAAAATTTTATAAATATATATTTATTAGAAACAGGCGGGCGCGTTAACCCTGTTTTATTTGGACAGTCTCTCAATATAATATTCAACGAATTTATAACAAATTTATACTCACTGAAATAGTTTCTGTGAGAATAAATTTATTATAAAAGCGTTAAATATTATCATTTTCCAAAACAGTAAAAATTCGTTACACTTACACTTGCTGGCGTGATATTTTATAAGACGCTTTAATTTTGATCTTCGATTATGGTAACTATAAAATTAATTAATACAATAAATAGTAATTATACTCGATTCTTATCATTGTACAAAATATATTAATTAAAAAAATAAATGTATTAATTAAGAGCCAACAAAAAAGTTTACGTTTATAGTATTGTAAGCGAACGACTGTATTATATATTTATTAGGCTGGTAAAAATAATTGTAGAAAAATGGGTTTTAAGAAGGAATAATATAATTATAGGTACATATCAAAAGCAAAGCAATTAACAGAAGAATAATAATGTCAATATAACATTTTTCTATATCATATAATAGACAAAAAACATAAATAATAAAGTGGTGCGTCGTGCACAAGTGTCGTGTCTCTAGTCAAGATAAATTAGTAATTAATAAAATCTGTAAATTGTTTCCAAAATAAATATGTACTTGTATTGAGGACTATGTTCTATTTATTTTGTTATCATGGTTTTGTTTAGATTCTTTTAATTATTTTTTTTCCTACCGACGGCTTCTGACGAACTCCTCTGCAATCTCTACAATGTGCACATTTTGTAACTGCATCTTTCTATTATTACCATCTTTTGCTACACTGAGCTTAACATCTTTACACAGTCCCTTATAATAAGATTTTTTTAGGTGCTGTTTTTATTTACCGTTTTTTCATATAACGAAGCTGTTCAATAAATTTAAACCAAATCATATTTCATTAAATTAATGATGAGTGCTAAAATTTAATTTTGAGCTGAACATAATATGAATTAATAACAGTCAGCAGCTTGCAACTATGAATTGATATCCCAAATTAAACAGCATAGTCCCAATCCGAGCGGCGCCCTTAATTGGCTTATCTCAGCTAACATTCAGCACACGCGTCAGTTTCAACGTGTCAATTGGGATGCTGAGCCATGCGAGTCACGTTTCTAGTTACCTAACTGTTTTGTGGCAACACCATGGAACGCTATAATATAAGGCCTCTAGATATAACAACAAAACTAGCCTCGAATATATAGAAAGGCATGTATTTGCTTCTAAACGTTTGTAGTTTCAATGTGATTAATTTGTAAGTCTATGTGCTGAGAAGGACGATTAACGAATAATTAAGGACACTAGTTGATTATTTGACGATAGTTATTATTTTCCATAATGTCATAAAAAAAATACTAAATTTCATGTCCAAATTTAAACAGAGTTATAAATAGGAAGGATGAAATATTAAAAACCGTTCTATAATATGCTGAAAGTTCTGTCTAGAAATATTTCAATTTTTATTATTTATATAATGATAATTATTATTTAATTTTAAATGAGAATTTTATTACAAATATAGTAGTTAATCGATTAGTTTCGTTATTCTACACAATTTTGTAAGTATTTGCGTAATTTAATGCTATTAAAATAATGTCGTTTATTTTTAATATTTATCTTTTAAATGACGTTGACGTTAGATATGATTTCATAATTAAATAGATTGAAAAATGAACTAACTTAAACAAAAGTTAAAGCAATAAAATAAACAATAAAAAAATTATTAGATAAGTAAAAACCATACATTATCTAACCTAGGATCACAGAATAATGGGAAAATATTGTATTTAGTAGAATAGTCAAACATCGAATATAATCGATTCTAGATATGTCAAACGATTACTAATTTTTAATTAGTGTCTTACTAATTCACAATTTTAATTTTTTGCCATTCTACAAATAAATAATCGGTAAAGATAAAGATGGTAGACACATCTAAAGCTAATAATATAGGTATATGTAAGAATACGTCAAAAATAAAGAGCAATATCATACTAGTTTCGCTATGAAATAACGCAAAGATACTAGTTCTAATATAACATTTATTTCTAAAATATAATAAAAAGAAAAGTGGCCTCTATTACAATGAATATAAATATATTCTTGATACACAAAAATAAATAAAGAGACATTGCACAGTACATACAGAATAATTAAGAGATAGGTACAGGCAATCAATGATATTATAAAGACATAATTTCATTATATAATGAATATTAATGAATAATAGGAGAATTAAATTATTAATAATAGAAGGTATTAGATGAAATCATTAACCTCTATATTATAAAAAAAAAACTTGATCTAACTAACAATTGACATTTATAGAATATACTTCTTTATTACAACAAAAATATCCCCTACAAAAGTATTTTAAGGATTTTCTACAAGTACAGGGGATTACATTTTCATACCCTCAAAGCCGTGATAATTAGTGAGCTAATTAGTAAATTAATGCCAATCACTAATTTATATGTAATCACATCGTACAGTTACTACATTTTTATATATTTACAAAATTACTAAAATACGTAATCTATCTAGATTGATTTTATATCATGGTAATCATCCCATTGCGACAACAGGATATCTAATCAACTCACTAGGTCGGGACAAAGGAAGCTTCCTTCATTAACTCTATTTTGATAAAATATTCATTAACCGTAGACACTATGGGTAGCTTCGATATCAGACTAAGTATGTCAAGCTATTCAATTTACCGAAACTGTCTCTAGAGCTGGTATAATTCATATCAAGCACCGCTCTATGGAACATAGTATATGTTCTATTTAATATGAGAGGTAGTCTAGCGGTTTATCACACCGCCTGACTTTCGATGGGCGCGGGTACGATTCCTCGCACAATACAAAATACTTTTGTGTTCATGGGTATGACTGTTTTTATACTTAAGTATATTTTTTACTAAATTATTTGTATAACTTACTAAAAATGTACTTAAGTATTTCTATCAGTTGTCTAGTAGCATTAACACAAGCTCTACTTAGCTTAGGACTAGATAACGTTGTGTGAATTTACCAGGTTTATCATTATTATATAAAAACCCTTCTAATCCATTAAAAAAGGTTATAAAATTTTAAAATTATTGAAATGGCGAACAAAACTAATGGATGAGTGGTAGTCGACATGATTTACCTATAGAAAATAATCATTGAAAAAATCTATATCAAATCCTACATAAAATACGTACCTACAAAAAAATAATAATAATAAAACATAATTTTTTGATCTATCTGATTATTAATCTATCAAAATCCAATAAAAAAATAAATTTCACATAAAGCACAATGAAACAAGAAAAGTCATCATATACAGGTCCGTTCATGGAGACTGCATTCAGCCCACGTACAAATCTTGGACTCCCTTGGACTATCCTGTCTGTGTCAGGTGAGGCTTTCTACGATACATATCACTTGCACGTGCCGACCAAGATAAAAGATATAATAAGACAGAGTAATCAATTGTTTGTTCACTTGCGCATTTGTTGTTGCAAGTTGCATAAAAGCAACAAAAATATCATATTTGAAGTGTCGATATTTACAAATTTGTATACATGGATTTTATTCCATTTTTTCCCGTATAATAACTCATACTTAACTCCACAAAAAACGATCAGTTTCCATTGCAATTTCAGCCATTTCTCATATTTTTATTGAAAATTAGCCGACGTTCAATCCTGAATATATCAGTTCCATTAGTATAATGTTTTAATTATACAAAACAATAAAGTTCACAAAATAAAGTAATACATTGAGTTAAGATATAAAGTACTACATATTTTAAGCGATAAACTTTTAATTATTATATCAACCGAACTGTTAGATATGATACGAGGTTTTAAATCAGCGTAAAAGCTTGCAAATAATTGATCCGCGGTAAAGAAATAAATTCTCGTTCATATGAGGCGAGTCAGTATCGGGCAAGCGCCTCCGGGGCCACTAATTCAATCAATTGGCCGACCATAAATAAAGGACCGGACAGTTCGCGATACCAGGCTCGGTCCACGTAATTGAGGAGCAAGAATACAGACAGCTATAAGCGACAAATCAATTAAGCACGAAGAAGATAAAAAGGAAGCATTAATAATGACGAGGGAGCTATAAAATAAATGAGCTACATTCTGATGTGTGCGTATGACATGCACTTCAGATAAAGAGATTACTAGAGAAAATTTTGTTCCTCGAAAATTATTTTATTTTGCATTCGATTAAATATTACTACATCATATAAATTTAATCAAGCTGTTTAAATCATAAGGTTTTCTCGGTCTACTATGTAACATAAGATTCCGTCGTTATACAGCTGGCATACATTGAGCAAAAATGCAACACAGAATAAAGACCCTTTATAAACAAACAAGATACTAGACACCAATACCTAGAGGGGCTTAAGCACTAATCCGTGTTTTTGTAGAGGGTGATTGTCAGCAAATGGAAGTGACAGTGCCTGCTACAGATATTAATCGTGAAAAATCCCCCATGGCAGCACAGAGACGTACAGGACTAAAACGCGGCACGTGCATTGTCTATTAACAGTTGACACTATTGGGCTAAAGCCAAAGACTCCTAATACAGTAAAGGGTAATAAATTATGAAGTATGTGAATTACTAAGACGTTTTTTTTTAGAAAAAATATATTATAAAGAATCTATTTGCTCTTTTAAGTGCATGAATGTGATGCTCTATCACAACT